GTATGGCCGACGGAAGTTACATTGGGTGTAGTAATGGAGTTGCATAAGTGAATATTAAGGCAATAACATGTTTCTGTGCAGTTTGTTTTTAACTTTCCATCCAAAAAGGTCTTTTCGGTTGTCAGAGAGTAACAACGTCACATCAAGATAGGGCTTTTCATCATGCTACCTCGATGTTTGTCAAGTCATTATCACTGAAACCGATATTTTTACAGCAGACAATCATATTCGTATTTTCACCCTAATACTGACAGAAATTTTCTGCTCTAATTTGGTACGCAAGCTTGGCAACTTTACGTCGATTTTACTCTCACACGCGCACGTACGCGCTTTATGCGTAATGTTTTTAGCATTTTCACGCTGAGAAAATGTAGCCAGTGTTTGTCGAGACTTCCTTACAAACATTCACGAGTAGCAAATCAGCTAGATTCTCTGTAAATTCTATCCTAAATCGACAATTCGTGGGATTCATTATGCAGGGGATTTGTTGGCTTTGGAATAATACAGCTACTCTCAACCATTAAGACTACCGTCGGAAGGCTTGAATGATAATCCTATGAGAAAGATAAATGCTCTGGTGAACTCAATGCACAAGAAAATCAAGGCTGTTACTGATGCGCAAGGGAGATGATGAGAACTTTTATTTTAATTTTGGGGGGTATCGACATATCAATTTCAATAACTCAGGAATTATCCGTCAAAGTCACACAAGATTTCGGTTACTTGTTGTTTAAAGTTGAATTAAAATGTTTGATAACAATACTGGAAAAATATCGGAAATAAAAGTTTTAATTTTATTCAAAAGTTTATTATGCGTTTCTTTTTCCTTTCAGTATACATGTAATGTATAACTGCATTTTCGGAGACCAGGTAAGAAATGTTAATAAAATCGCATTTACTGACAATTTGATCCGAATTCTGCATGAATCTCTCACGCTCTCGCACCAGAACGGAGATCCTAAGAAGTTGTAGCCCTGTCCCCCTAAAAAAGAGGAAGGGCTACATTATTGCAGCTAAGATCCCCCATTAAGCATCAAATGGCGAGGATTGAAGTTTCTAAGATGCAAGTCAAACTCCAAATCATGGTCAAGAGGTCAGATTTGGTGAAACCTTAAGAAAGGTCTATTCACAAGGAATACATCCACATGTATTTAAAAAATGAAAGTCATACCCCAAGAATTCAAAACTTATAGGCAGGGTTTTTGTGGACAAACCAAAAAAAATGTCTGACAGCTAGACAGACTAGATAAACCTGAATTTTCTTTGACATGGTCATAAAAAGCGTTGAAAAACCTTGACATGTACGGACGAGGGATGATCAAAAACGTTAGCGAATTATCTCCATTTTACAAATCCACACTTCAGATCAGAATGAAATTTGGTACACAAAGAGTCATACGCATTTTCTATAAAAAGCATATGTAAGAAAACGTTTTGCCCCATATTTATTACGTCACAATGTCAATATGACGTTAATATGCAGATCACTTGTAACAAAAAAAAATACGACTTACTCAGTCGTATTCAAGCACAAACGACTGTAAAGGTAAACGTTCACTGTAAAACGAGAAAATGTGGCTCATACGTATTTTTGAGCAAATGCAAGAGGGAATACATTGGGGAAAATAAATTTTAGCGCTTGCACTTTTCATTAAAATATATAAACGTGATATTGTGTTGACTTCTTTTATCCACGCCCGTAATTGACTTTTTTGCAAGTTAAGCATGGCAACACAATAGCACTTGCGTATATAAGTATAAACATTCGTCAACTTTACCGTTGAGTTGTAATCACATGGACGTGGCACAACGTCAACTTTATTTTATTTTATTTTAAATAAAAGAAAACGTTGAGTATTTACGCATATTATTTAAATTAAAAAATGAAAGCATCAAAAGAAAGTTACTTAGATAAACGGTAAATATAAACAGGTATTGCCTGCAAACTCAATCACCATGGTTGATTGCATTGTTTACCTCGAGGCAATAAATGTTTGACACGCCGAGAAGCCAAACTTTAAAGGTGCTGATGATAAGTATCGGATAACAACGAAAAAACTTCTAGTTTAATTAAATTATAATTTGGCAGAACTTTCTCGATCGATCCTGAAGTGCTAGTATGTACATGTGTATATAAAAATCCAAAGACCCTTCGACATAACGTAAACACGCGTTCCGGTTTACATGTATGTAATTATGTTAAAGCTTTAAATACACACAAAAAGTAATAATTTAGAGCACAATAAAGAACTGTGAACGTTAGCATTGTTCTCCCGCCAAGTCAATTTTCAAAGGTTAACATATTCGATGAATTTTTAATATTTTTTAATAGATAGTTATATGGATTTTCATAAAACATTACTTATTGGTAAAACAGAGATAACTTTAAATTTTAGTAAAACTTGTGATTTCACTATAGAAATCAACGGAAAAGGGAAACTATTTCAAAACACCCCCCCCCCCCGCGTGCCACAAAAATTCCATTTTACAGATAATATGGAATGTTATTTCACAAATTCATACGAAATTTTTTGTGTGACATGGGGGGAACATAATTATGTTCATTGACAAAAACGATAAAAATGCTTATTTTCCACCAATTTCAAAGCGAGTTACAACTGAAGAATTATATTTTGAATTTATTGATATATTTATGTCTTATTTATTTGCCTAAAACATAAGAAAAGATATAAGGAACATTTATTCCTATCCAAGACCATTTCAAAATATGGTTATGCTAGAAACTCCGATTTCAGTGGAAAATATCATCTACCTCTCTTTTTCAAGATCTGGAATTATGGATAATTTACTGATTAGCGCTGGTATTAAAACAATTAATCAATTACCATTGAATTAATCTTTATATTAAACAAAAATTACATGGCCAAATTGCTATTTATATTGAATTAAATGGTTCCAAAATGTAGGCGGGAATCGAGAGTTAGCGTGCGTATTTCTTTTAGCCTTCAGGGGATCTTGCGCTAACTGCATTAAAATTAGTAGTGTGCCATAATTTCTTGTTTTCCAGTATCTAGAAAAGTAACTTGCAGAAGCATATAATAGTTTGTACAAGGTTTATGGAGACAAAAGCTTTGACAGAAGTTATGTCATTAATTAGATGGATTGTTTTATTGAACGAATTGAGATGTTTAAAAATGATGTTGCCCAGGAAAAGCTAGTTTTGGAAAGGTCGTGTCTCTTGTTTAGCAATTTGACATGACAGATCGCCAGCATAAAGATTGAAAAATAATTGAATATATCTGGAGCTCTTTTCTCAAAAAGTCATAGGTTGGGCGTTAGGTTGTCTGTCTAAGTTACCCCAAGATAACCAAATTTTAAAATGGCCTGAATTTCGTCTCACAAAATGTCAGTAGAATTCATCTTTTGTATCAAAGCTTAAATACTTTGCTTGTGCAGATCGAATTCCCTAATCTTAGCCATTCAAAATCATAGCCCAGCTTAATTTTTGGTAACATGTTTTAGAAAAAATGGGTCATAGTCCAAGTTGTGAGCTTAAAGATAAATCATTTCAATATCCAAGGAAGGTCTTGTCACAGGAATTACAAATGTAAAAGGGGAATGCAAGAGTTCCAACCAATAAGAAGTCTTTGGAAAAATTAAAGATTTTTCATAAAGGCAAATTGACGAGCTATTAAAAGGACAGACCGACGGACGAACGAACGGTCTGTGCAATATGCGCCAGATATTCGATTACGAAGATAAAATTCAGATGTGCCTAATGGAATTTATAAGTTTGGCACTCAGGGGATTTCAACTGAAGGGCTTTTTTCCATGTGCTGATCAATGTTTTTCTTTTTAACATACAGTATGGATTCCACTTATTACAAGGAAGAAGATACTATTATATAAAATCGAGAAGTTTCTCACATGTGAGCAAAGACAAAAGCAGATTTGAATGATCATTAAAAACTCACAAAGCACATTGTGTCTCTTACAAAAAGAAATAGGTTTCAGCTAGCTAAAGGAAAGGCATGAATAATTTTCAAAAGATGTTACACAAAAGGAAAATTGAACAGGAAAATTGTTCTATGCGCTCGGTATATGATCTGTCTTCTCTTGTGCGACTTTAAACGTTTTAAAATCCCTCCATGTGGTATGTGGAAACCTTTTTCCTTGTGTCAGACACACAATTAATATGCCTGTGCATGATCACTCATAGGTCACAAACTTCCTGACTGGTACATCATTACTTACTTCTTCCTAATGGTCAATTGACCAGAATTTCATGATTTAAACAGGAAAAGAGATATTAAGATAAAAAGAAAGCCCTTTATTTCGAAACTCCTTGTTGCCAAACGTTTGAAACCAGTTTGGCAAATCTGAATTTAGTCACAAAAGTTTATATTTATATTTATTTCAGAAATAAAAAAAAATAATTATAAGAAAAAATACATACAGATTAAGTATTTTGATAAACCTTTATTTATCATCCGTAAAATGGGATCAAAACCTCCGAAAAAGAATTCATATGTTTTTCTTGGTTAGGTCTCCATAGGTTTCAGCACAATCTGTTACGCTTTCAAGCATTCCCTTTCACTAAATTGGAAGTTTATACATTTTAACAACCCGTGCACATGTTTTTTGGTCCCCTATGATTCATAAGCAAAGTTTTTTTACTTAACATATTGTTAATTTTCAAAGAAAAAACCGCTTCAGGATTTTAACCACTATGATACCTAACCAAAACCCCACATCTGCCCCTTAATACTCAGTATACATTGTGATGGCAAAAGGTCCAGTGGTGTTGTGTAGAAAATCTCATTCTTCTTTACACTAGTGCACCAAGTTATAATGCTCCGAGAGTCATGTCGTGTAATCGAAACCCGTATTTTCTCAATAGTAGCCTTAGACAATCAAGTGAATAATCAGTTCACATAGAGCTTTAAGTTTAAAGTTTTATAATCAATGACACTGAATATAGTATGCTTCTAGAATTTAAAATCAAATAAAAATATTTTGAGAAATAACTAAGACAAAGCCTGCAATCAAAATTTTACTTATCAGAAAAGTTAATTTTATCGACAAACACCTCTTTTATCTTAATCTCTCAATATGTCTGCATTCAAATCTTCCAGCTGTAAATATACAACGGTTTTGTAAACGAAATATTTGCAAAGTTTGAATTTGATTCAACATTAGTAATAGGTTATATAATTAACATACCTGTGAATTGTCATCTGCTTGAGGAAATCTCTTTGCGATTTCTTCCTATCGTTTAAAAAAAGGTGTTTATAATCGACTTTTTAATCACGCTAAACAATTAAATTTGGTTTTCGTTGAACATGTACTGTAAATAACTTTTTATAAGCGAGAAAATTATTTTATATACGAGTATTTAATGGAGACGTTATGGTTTCAAAAATATTTCATTCTATTATTTATAATATGGTCTATTACAGTGTTCTTAAAAATTCTTTAAAATTATATAGACCAGTAATCAAAATTCGTGAAGATCTTCTCTCGCTTATAAAGAATTTATGTACAAAAAATTGTAATAAAGTGTCGCAAAATTGCAGCGATCTAAAATATTCTTCATTTTCATATCATCGAAGGTGTTCATCTGTTTAGATATTAAGTGACAATGTGGTAAAACAGAAACAATTGACAACTCTGTAGTATATCACATCGGTGTTCTTTGCTACACGTTTCTTAACAATATTGCTTCTTAAAAACCGATCTTTTAAAACTATCTAGATTGATTAGGTGTAAACAAAAAAAGCTTAAAAGAAAATATTTTAATCACTTTAGTTAGATCAATGAATGTAAAGTTAAAGATTTATGTATCCTACATCTGATTAGTATTATATTCGAAAAAAGACGTCTCAATGGTTTGAATATTAACTATCCCGTGTAGTTTATGTATACATGATAGGAACATTACAGCATTTCTCTTCTTGAATGTACATCTACACCCACAACCAAGTCCATACGGGCCACCACAGCTACACCTACATCTCTTTTTTTTCGCATCCACTTCAGTGGAGATCAGAAGATATGTAAAGAGCACAATGCAGAGTAATATGACAGTCTTCATCCTAGAAAATAAAGTTACATTTTCTTGTGATGGTTCGATATTAAAAATGAAATTCCTTAAGGATCCGATCCATAATAGTCTAAGATTCACTGAATCTGAATTCATAACTGATACACAAGGCTGAATACTCAGGATATGTAAACTTAATCTTAATGTTTCATCATTGGTACGTATAACTGGAATGTGTCGTAATATTTGACCTTGACCAGTACTTGAAGAGCTATCCCTTTGCTTTTAATCAATGGAATTTATTTCTAAGAAAAACATTGTCTGGTTAATTTGTTTAAATCTTTTCTCTATTCTTAATACTTATATACAACTTTCCATTATTCCATTTTTTATATTATTGATATTTAAATTTTTATTTTCACAAATTAACCTGTTTCAATAGACCTCAATAAATCCTTCATTAATTAATTATTGCTCGGGAATTCGAATTAAAAAAAAATATCTTCTGATAAGTTCTTTTCTACCCTAACTTTTTTGAATTAGTTTTAGGGTATTCAATACAGGATAAATATTTAAGGTTAGAAAATTATGTTCTTATCTGGGTCGGATACCTCAAACCTCTCATCTATTGAATTAAAGATCTTAAAACTTTAGTCCAAAATATTCTTCTCAAAAAATATTTTTATCAGAATATTCAACGACTGTCTTTGGGTTGATATTTCTGTAAAAAAAAAATACACATCCATTCAACAGGCTTAACATAGAAGTGAGGATATATTAAAGAACTCAAGATGCATTACACTTTTAAACTATTCCATCGATACTTCTCACTGATCGAAACTAATCGGACATAGATTTTAATATCAGAAAATAAATTTTGTCAGAATAGTTTTTTATACACAAAATATGATACTTTTTAGTCCAATAAGGTCACACAGTAATTTTTTTCCACAGTTATTTTCATGATTTCTTCAAGGATAAATGTTATTTAAGCTATTTTATGAGAAGAGCGGTTATACATCTGTATTTATTTTATTGCCATGATATTTCCGATAAACGATCTTAAGGATGAAAGCAGTTAACTCAAAGGCTACAATTGATATGTCAAAACGTTAAAGTATTTGTTCTGTAGCTCAGAAACATACATACCGACAGCGATTTTCTTTCGGATTTGAGTCTTTCTATAATGAGTAATTTACCAATGTGTACTTTTTAAAATAAAACATCCTTAATATAACTTATCTAACGAGTAACTACGTAGAGACCAATCAAAAACTGCGGTTGAAGGGACCCAGAAGTCATTTTTGAATACGATGATTTTCATGATAGGAAATAATTTCTGTGCAAAAAATCCATCAATTTCAGTCTTAAATCATGTTTGTATATCTAAAGCATCTTCAAAATTCGTATTTATAAAAAGTAATGTTGGTTCGGAGAAAACAAAACCTTTACATTATAAAGTTTATTGAGAAAATAAAGTTAAGTAAATAGCAAAAAAAAAAAAAAAAAAAAAAAGTAGAAAATTATCTTTTTTTGAAAATATATTTCAAATGTAAGCAATTCTGAACAATTTAAAAGTTTAAAAAAAAATAATAAGCATTAATGTTTTAATATAAAATTAAAAAAAGTTTTTGATTTACATGTACCTCTTTGTTGCAATCTGGAAACGTTTTACTGAGAATTGCTGGTAACTTTTACTGAAAATTGCTGCATTTATATGATAATCTTATAGAACATGTGCGACGAGAAGATATCACTATTTTTTTTAATGATCGGATAACATGTAAATATAAAGGACGAACACGGTTGCTCAGATTGAGCTGGTATTCGTTTTCGTTAGATTTGGGTCAACCATCGTAAAAATGCTATAGGATTTCTCGAAATAAAATTTCAGCTTGAACATATGTTCCTTGATAGGGGTTATCAAAACACAAAGTAAGTAATCAAAATCAAATTATATTTAAAATCTAAAAGGACGAATTAAATGAAACATAATGTGTCCTTTTAGAACATTTTTCAGCAATCATGGTATTCAATAATAATCCAGTTGATACAACAAGGGCAAAACGCGTAATGAGAAACGCTGATGTTGATTGAATATCATGTAAACAATGTTGTAAATTTATTGATAAATTGATTCTGTTTTACCAAATTTCCGTGTATAAAGAAAACTCACCTTTAAACACTTTAAGCTAAAATTGACATCTCTAGTATCACTCAAGACCACCAAGCAGTTTATAGTTCAAACTTCTATAATGACATAGGACCTCGAGCGGTTTTTAAGCTCATATCCAATAAACCCATGGCATGCATTTGGCGAAGGTTGAGTTAACATTAATCCTTATTCCTTAGGTTTGTGCAAAGCGAAAAAGGATGTAAAATCCAGTCATCACGATTACAAAGTAAGCTTTCTTCTGTAAGATACCGTGAACGACTTCAATGAATAAAGATATACGTTGCCAACACATTTTGTAAGCGTTTCTTGAAAAAGCTTTCTGGTGTATTCTTATTTTAATATTTGATATTTTGATTACAAACTAAACAAACTTTATTTACATAATTTATCTTTTGGAGTTATCCATCAAATTCTACGGAAACCCATTAGTTCCAACTTGTATGCATAACTTGGAAAAGCAATATGTAAAATCAGACCTCAATATATAGAGGAAATTCGAAACAGAAAAAAATCTCGATGTATTTATAAAGAGAAATGTGACAAAATTATATAAACAAAAACTCGATATAATTACATATTAAAAAAATGCGAAATTTATCGTACCCTTCCAGTGATTACGCTATAAACCAAAGGTCGACTTTCATTTAAAACCAAGTTTAATATATACATTGTCCCTCTTTTTGTTTAATAATTTCGTTTTACAGCTTCTATCTGTTAACAAAAAAAAAATAAAAAATGTTAATGGATGAAAAAAGTGATTAATAGATTGATGGATTGAATGTTGTTTTACGTCCTATTTGAAATTTGTACAATCAGAAAAATCTGATGAAGGGCTTCACTTTTACTTACAGCGTTTGAGCACTGGGGAATCTTTTTCGTTCTAGCGTCTACCTTGACACAACGCCTGGGTTTTTAAGGTCTGCTGGACCCACAGCTTTTACTTAAAGGTGCCACGCGCATGGCAAAGGAACTGTTGCTGTTCATATTTTTTTTTATTAACGAAGGTCAGTCGCGGCAGAAATTCGAACTCACGACCTTCTGAACAGGGAGCAAGTGTCCTACAGAATAAGCTACCATGCTTGTTAAAAAAAGAAGGAAGTAAACGTATCAGGGAAAAAACATACATTTAAAAATGCAGAAAATGGTTGTTTTACAACTTTACAAATCTAATTAAAGAAATGATTATCAGACGTTTCGCCTTTTGAAAGGCATAAGTACGATTTATAAAATGCAACTTAGCAAAAGGTTTCAAATACAAAAAAAAAAAAAAAAAAAAAAAACATATTTTGAAAATACGTCATAACGTTTATCAAACAAAATTAGTGTTCGTTCGTCATTTAATCGCTTTTTAAGCTTTTAATACCTTTTCTCGATAGTCACTTAAACTTCTTTGCCACGCATTGTCACCGATTTTCAAGAGATTTTGCCCGACACCACAAACATATATCGTTTAAAATGTTGTTCCTATGTGTCTTGGTAGCCATGATAATAGCCGGAAACAAATTGATAAATTGAAAATTTCAGTTACTTAAAATATTTATTGAGCCTTAATAAAATCTAGAAACAAAAAAAAAAAAAAACATTCTTGCAAGAATATAACAAGTTGTTGCCACTTATGCTGTATAGAAATCGTTTATGATATATCTCTAAGTGAGTGGTAAACAATGGTACATTTGGATTACATTAAGCGCAGATGATAAAAGCAAACTTTTGTCAAAAGTTTTGAAAATAATAAGCTGGGTCATGTTTTAATGAATAAAAGAAGTTTCACTGCGCAATTTTTATTATTTTTTATTAAAAATTGCTCAAAAATAGAATTTTAAGTGAAAAATATTTGCATATAATAATAAAGATGGTTTCAGAAGTGTAGCATTTGAATGTCACAGAAGGTTTACAATTTCTTTATATTCTAGAAATTTATTATTTGGAGTAATTTAAATGAAATTAGGTCAAAAAATATATAGCAATCCAGAAATCCAATTTTTGTTTGTATTATCTGTCCTTATAGCTGCTGAAATACTGAGAGTACGCTGAAAAAATGATCAAACTCAATCAAAAACTGAAGTAAAAAAAAACAATGAAAATGTTTGACCTTATTGACCTTGTTCTAAAAATAATATTTATGCTTGCTATGTTGACACAATGGGCCCAAGGAAAATCAGTAATTAAGATTTGGTCAGTGTTACTGTCTTGAGGATTAAACATGAGAATTCAAGTGACATTGACTGTTTTCAAAAGTTGAAGGCCTGGTCTCTGCAGGGAGCTCATTCTGTATGGCACTTGCTTTCTGACCAGAAGGTCGCGAGTTCGAATATCTGCCGCGACTGACCTAAGTTGATAAAAAAAAATTATAGCAACAGTTCCTTTTCCATGCACTTAGCATTTTGAATTAAAAAATGCAGGTCCTGATGACCTTGAAAACATGTTTACTATAAATTTATATATGTATGTATAGACTGCCAACAAAAATGAAGGATTACTAATTGTACTTGGTATATGTATATGTTTCAAGCTCCTTTTTCACTATTACTGTAAAGTCACATATTTTCGTGGGGTCAAATTTTCGTGGTTTGAGGAAAAAATGTTGGTTCGTGGGGATTTGATTTCGTAGATGAAAACTTTTTAGTAGTTGTACATATGAAAATTTACATTTCGCGGTGGACATTTCGCGTCGGACATAAATTCGTTGGACCCTTCATACCACGAAAACAACGAAAATTAACCCCCCACAAAAATTAGTGATTTAACAGTATTTGGCCACATTTCATCCGAAAATTGTCTTCTTTTTTTTAACTTTTACGACTTAATAAAATTCAACGAATATTTCTTTTTATATTTTAATACTTTGTTATATGTACCATAGAAAACAACA